TTAATATGGATTTTTTATTTTCTATATAAAAGGTACTATAAAACAGTACAATTTCTAAAAACAAGTAGCTTACTAAAATAAAAGTCTAACTATACAAAATCATATCAGACATTTCCAGAGAAAAATAAAAGTTATATTTACAAGTAGGAAATGTTACATCGTCCCTTCCAGCCAACTCAAACCTGCAGATGAACCAGAAATCCTCACTCACGCATTCAGCAGCAACTCACTCTCTTGAGCTAGAAAACAATTTTTAAAAAGAAAAACTCAAAAAGCAAAATACTTTGTTCACGTAAATGATAGTCTTCCATCATTGTACATCACGTTAGCCAGGTGTACTAACATTTATGTCACTTCTTTAAACAAAATATTTGATTTTATGATCCGATAATAGTGGTCATGTTACTTTGTTACACCAACAATAAATCTTTGTCAACAAATATAAGGCATGAGTATGTTGGAAGAATTACAAAGCAAGATGTGCTTTTAAAGAAGGTTTCTCTTTATGATGCAAATGTCTTTCAAGAAACAAGTGGGCACATTTAAATAAAAAAGGCACCTCTTAAACAAGCTTCGTCTGATTCTTTATCTTTTAGTATAAGTTTTTTCAGTATTTGGTCTTAAATCATGATAATACAAAATAATATTACATCAAAACAGTCCCCCCTTTTTTGTATTTTTGCATAATGCAAGAACTAAAAGTGCAAAGGACCTTTTTTCACTCTAAGTAAAGCACAAGAGGAACCTTTTGAGTAATGCAATCGCCATGATAAAATAGGAATAGTAAACATTACCTATGTAAGCCAGAGATTACTAAAAATGAAAGACAGTAGACAAATAAAGCATCTGTTAAGTCCAGCCTGTATGTGGCAGAAGAAATGTGAAATCTTTACTAGATTTTCCTCTCGACTTGATACACTGATAAGCAAAACAGAGAGAAAACAAAGAGACTGAAACTGAGTTACAAGAATCACCACAACCAAAGCAGATCTGAACTGTTTTGGTTTACTTGATAACATGTTTGGTCAGAGAATAGGGAAGATTTGTTTGGTTATCTGCAGCAATAACAGCTGTGGTAACTGGAAAAGCCCAGAATTGGTGCTTCCCCCTGGAAAGTCTATATCTGTCCCCTTTCTAATGCCATCGCTGTTATGAAAAAAGTCACACAACAAACATACGGCTCCAACCACCGTGTTTTCCATTATGTAATTGTGATAGCTGTTGCTATGACAGCAGCCAGGTGGGTCAAACTTCATGCTAGCATTTTTACCGAAGGTGTGCATGCAAACAGAAAAAGAAAAAAAAAGTGTGTCCTTGATGGTATGCACTTCTGTGGAGCAGTTACTCTGAGGGAGTTTCCCAGAGGTGTTTGATCCAAAAGTGCTGACTGATGTCTTTAAGGTGTTTATACATTCAGCAGCTTTAAGTAAGAACTTCTTTGACAGTCCTGGGCATCGGGTTCTGCTTTATCTTGCATTTTCACATCAAAACAGTACTGGAACAGCTGGTTTGTTACAGCATCACGTTTTGGTACCTGACATCAAGTCATACATTTCTGTCTGCCAATCAGGACACTGTGGCCTGAGGCCATCTTTGGTTTGAAATGGTCACCTCTGCCAACATCTGGAGTTCCAGTCCTTCAAAAATCCTCCAGTGGACAAAAAAAAAGGAAAAAAAGAACTGCAATTAACAAAGTTTTCTCGTAATCAGTGATTAGCACAATTACCAGGAAATACTGCTCTAGAACACAGTGGCTACTATAGCAATCACAGTCATTACTGTTCTAGAACACAGTGGTACCACAGTTACAAAAGAATACTGTTATAGAATTCAGTGGTTCCATAGTTATCATAGCTATTTATCAACATTCTAGAATTTAAAGGTTACCATAGTCACTATGGTCAAGTGTTTTACAACATAGTGGCTACCATAGTTACCATGGAATAGTGTTCTAGAACTCAGTGGTTAACATAGTTATGACAGATCAGTATTCCAGAACTCAGTTTCTGTTTCCCACTCCGGTTCTTCCAGCTTCGCCTTCTTCACAAAGGCAACTTTTTGGTCCAAGTTGGCACATTGATTTACAAGATGACATCACCGGGCTAGCCTTCTTTTATTGGCTGAAGGCATACCCCTATAACGATGCCACAGGTGTGAGAACAGCGTCATTTTGCTCGAGGTGATGGTGGTGGTGCAGCTCAGCTTTGCACACCGTGGCGGCGCTGCAGCTGAGCGATGTGGCACCGGGTGCCTCTTCATCACCTGAAAGACACATAGCCAAGTGTGAGCACCATGATTACCTTCAGTCTTTAAGAATCATTTACCTTTGTGCAAAAGTCACATGAGGACATAAGTCAGGGGAATTTGGCACATGCATGTTATTGAAAATGTTGCTTTTTCTACAGAACAAACAGCAAAGTTCGATTTTATAAAACATCTGTTGAGGTTGAGGCCTTACTCAAACCATAGAAAGATGATTCACTCTCAGCCAGGGAGGAGGAGTCTGCCTGGTCATGTGACAGTCCGTCCATTAAGGGAATAGAAAGCTCTGACGAAGGAACAGATGAATCATAGATGCCTGAATCACGAGGAGGGGGGACCTCTGGAACAGTGGGGCGGCCTTCATCAGCCTGTCCCTGACCAGGGGAAATGCCATCCTGGAGGATGGAAGGACCAGAGGAGGACAAGGAGGAGGAAGAGTCTTCGGATAACAGTCCAGATATTCCAGAAGCAGACCTGTAACAGATAAAAAGCATCTGCAGTCAGAATAATAATAACAACAACAACAACAACAATAATAATAATAATAGTAGTTCTATGTTACCTGCTGTTATATCAGTGAAATTAAAAGAAAACAAAAATGAGGTGTAACACACTTTCCTTTACCTTGAATTGGGATCTAGCATGAACAGAGAAGAGTGTGGTAGGTCTGGACTGGGACAGACACCAGGACTGGGACAGGGGTCAGGGGTGGAACTGGGACTCGGGCCAAGGTTGGGATCAGGGCTGGAACCATGGGCCAGCTGGAGTACGTTCCTCCCCATCACGCCCTCCCCACTCTCCAGCGATGGCATTCGCACCACCACCTCATTCAGCACCAAGCCAGAGTCAAACCTCTGCTCAGCCTGAGATGACAAGGAGCAGGAAGGTTTGGGCGGAAGGCTCGGAGCCTGGACAGCAGCGAGAGATGGATGTTTGGAGGAGGAATCAGGAGAGGTAGAGGATGCTCCTGCAGGAGCGAGCTGCTTTTCGAACCAGTCGGGGTTCTGGCTGATGTGCTGGTGCATATTGCAGATGGAAACGTAGAGCGAGCGCCCGGACTTGCTTCTGAAATAGTTCCTCCGGGAAATGTTAAGAGGCTGCTGCTCACGATCAGTCAGACTGGAATGACTCGAATGGAACCGACTGAAGAGCTGAGGCAGCTGGTCCATCAGCTTGAACCTAAACAGGAAATGAAATTATTTATCAGGCTGCAAGTATTTATCATTGTCATTAAAGTTTGTATTTCATGGTTCCTGTCTTTACCTGGTAGCCAGACTCAGCATGGTGGGGATGTCGCTTTCTGTAGAATAGTCAAAGTAAACTGCCATGTATCGGTTCATCTCCTGTGCCCCGCTGTCTTCGCTTTGCTTTGCCTGCCGCAGCTTCTCAGCAATCATGGCAACCGCCACAATGAACAGGTCCCCACCAACCGCAGTAATCGAAGAGCTGCTGCCATTACTACGGCGGCTCACTGGCGTCTTCCCTCGACGGCTCTTCTTTTCCACATAATAGCTGCAAAAAAACAACAGTTATGACAAAAGGAGTTGAAAAAATATGGTAAGGAAAAGAATAAAGGTACATTTTTAGTTGACTCCTTACTTAACATTTTTTGTATTTTAGAAACCTGCAATGTTCTTGAAGAGGAAAAGGCACATGGGTATGGCAAGAAGACAAGAGAGACCAAAGGAAAGATGGAAACAAGTGAACACACAATGAAGAAAACATGACACCTCTAAAAAGAGGTGGGACAAAGGGGTGACACACTCGTCAATTAGGTTTAGAAACCTGTGAGCCTACCATAAATTAAATCATATATGCATCAGCATCTTTAACACATTT